ATTTTCATGCCTATATCATATTTACATTTCCATAGGAAAAGTCCAAATACCTGAAATTGTACAGCTGCTATTGATAATTTCATCAGAAGATCAAATGCTATAGTTTTCACGTCTTCGAAAGTACTGGTAAAACATTCTATTAGTATTTGGAAATGATCAACATCAATATCATGGCTCAGCTGATACACTCTTTGGCCTCTACCTGAAAAAAAATGTTAAAATGAATTTAAAATTTAAATTTAAATTTTTTTAAAAAAGTTAAAATGAATTTAAGAAAAAGGAAAACAACCTTCTGAAGTTATCGAATTTATAGAAAATTAGTTCAAAAATCCACACTTCATACTTCACTCACGATACTACTTTATTTCATACTTTGCCACACTAGCATAAAAACACTTTTCCATTAATTCATTTCTTCATATGACAAAATTAAAAAAATTGGTTTTCCAAATAGGAAATAAGCTTTATAAGGAAATTTAAAACAATTTCATTGTTTTTCAAAAGGTATCCTATAAAAGATTTCTAAGTAATTTTTAAAAAATAAATAAAACCAAATAAATTTAGGAACATATCTTTTGAAAAATCTTCATAAAACTTCTTGATCTAGTATGCCACAATGAAATCCTTCATTCTGTATAAATAATATGCAGCAATAAAACATTTTTTAATTTTTTAAAAACTTGACCTAGAATCCAAAGTCCTACTGTATTTTAGAATGAAATGATACAGAATAATGTTATTTTTATGTTTATCTTTATTTGAGGTTTATTTTAATAGGGCATATTCTTACATCTTATTATTTTTATATTCACCCCCAATATTCCTGGGATAAATTCCACTTGGTCATAGTATACAATATTTTTAACACACTGTTGTGTTTAGTAGTGTTTTGCTGAGAATTTTCCTTCTGTATTCACAGGGATATTGGTCTGCAGTTTTCTTTCAGTATCTTTGTTCAGCTTTGGTATCAGGGTAAGGAGAGCCTCACAGAATGAGTTAGGAGGTGATCACTCTCTAATTTTGTGAGAGGTTAGTTGGGACTGGTGTTATAAATGTTTGGTAGAATTCACCAGGGAAGCCTCTTGGCTTGGACTTTTCTTTGCTGGCAGGCTTCTTCTTCTTGTTGTTGTTCTTTTTAGTTACACATGACAGTAGCGTGTATTTTGACATATCATACATACATGGAGTATATCTTCCCATTCTTGTGGTTGTACATGATGTGGTGTTACTCTAGTCATGGGTTGGTAGGCTTCTGATTAACTATTTCAATCTCTTGTCATAGGTTTGTTCAAATTACTATTTCTTCCTAAGTCAGAATTTTTTATGTTTCTAGTGACCTACTCATTCCAGGAGATTGTTCATTGTATTGACTTATTATCCTTTAATTGCTGTAAGTGTAGAAATGATCCTACTTTCTTTTTCTTTTTTCTTTTTTTTTTTTGTGGTGCTGGGGATTGAGCACAGGGCTTTGTGTATACAAGGCAAGCACTCTACTAACTGAGCTATATCCCCAGTCTGAAATGTCTCTACTTTCATTGCTGATTTTAGTTATTTGCAACTTTTTTTGAGGCATTAGTTAGGTTACTGACTTGAGACCTTTCTTACTTTTTAATGTAGGAATTTACAGGTACATATTTCCTTATGAGCATGGCTTTTGCTATATTCCATAAGTTTGGGTATGTCATATTTTTGCTTTCATTGATTTCAAGGTATTTTCTAACTTGCTTCATGATTTTTTTTTCTTTGACCAACTGGGTAAGAGACATTCAAATCTGAAGTTTTCTCTTACACTACTGTATGAAAGTGCTAGCATTCCCCACTGTCCCTGGCACTCTCTATCTCCCACTTGTCTTCCTAAAATTTTTTTTCATAGAACTCATCACCATCTGAATTTCTACATATTGTTAACTACTGTCTGTCTCACTTCACTAACATACAAACTCCAAAAAAGGAAACACTTGCTTTCATACACTCCATTATCCTTAGCTGTTTGACATATAATAAGCAGTAAATTAATACTTCCAGAACAAATCCTCTTAATCTAATTGTAGAATTCAATTTCTCACCTTGAATACTGTGACATTTAATTCTACTTAATGCATGCGGACTATTCTTCATGGTCTAGAATACAATTGAGGAAAGGCAGAAATCATTTTGACTATTACCAAATCATAGTTCTTCTATAAAATAATGTAAAATCCCCACATTAAAGCTCTTATGATGAAGAT